ATGGAAGAAGTTGGTATTTGTTGGGTAGGTTATAGATAGTGACACCGTCAAACTAAATTGTTTGTTATTTTTTTATTTATTTGTTTTATTAATGTGAGCAGTTATGTTATGTCATCATTGTTAAGGATTTCTTATTAATTAAGGAGACTAATTTCTTATTATTTCTTTTAATTAATCACTTTCATTTTTATTTTAAATTGAATATTAATATTTAAAAATTATTAATTGTAAAATTATCCCATATCACAATAAATATTTATTATAAATCTAAAATATAACATATATATCCAAAAATATTTATTTGTTGTAAATTTTAATTAAAGTATAATTTATATATTATAAAATTTATTTATTTAAAATAAATATTTAACTTATTCATCGTACATAATCAAATAGTACTGTATATAATATATAAATATTCTTTCACTGTCACATAACATTTTTTTATATTTGTATTTTCTAAAAAAAACATTTGAAATTATTTTATTTATTCTTGTTTTGCTTACCATTTGATATTAACTATTTTTATTGACTTTTCATATTTTATAAGTATTTTGAAATTTTATAATTTTTTAAACAATTAATAATCGAAGTGTATTACATTTTAATAAAAAAAAATATTTCATTGTGTATATATTGATATTAAATAAATACAAATTAATAAAATGACCTAAAAGTGGTATTTTTAATTTATTAACGTTTAACCTTATTCTTGTAGTGGAATTCTTGTAGTGGAGTAGAGTGTTCTACACGGCAATTATAATTGTCAAAATAGCTAGTTAATCCAATACGATTTATATATAATTCATATTTTTGTTATCATGTTAGTACATTAGGTTCGACCAAATTATATCATTTCATTTTATTTTATTTTATTTTATTTTATTTTATATCTACATTTAATTTAGAATATAAATACATATGGTTTTACTCTTATCGAAAGTATTCAAAATGAAAAGTTTTCTAATAAATCCTTTAATTAGTGGTGATTGAGCGGAAGGAAGTTAGATTTTTTTTAAATTGAGATCTATCATTATTTCATGTTTTCTTGTTCTTATAATAATAGATTAATACTCTATATATACATATATATATATATATATATATAGAGGAGGGTTCAAACGACACCGGTGTAATTTTTACTAAGTATTACACCACTCAATAACTTTAAATTAAATGTGAATTTTGAAAATCCAACCGTTAGATTGAAAGTTCATTACTCTTAGATCATATATATCAAATTTTATATTAATCTAAGATAATTTGATACTTCATTCTCATAAAACAAAATTGACGTAATATATACATTTTAAAATATACTAAAATATTAACACTTTGATTACCTTCAAGTTGTTGTTCAATTTTAACAAAATTTGATATCTAAAAGTAATGAACTTTCAATCTAACGGTTAGATTTTTAAAATTCACATTTAATATAAAGTTATTGAGCGGTGTAACACTTAGTGAAAGTTATACCAGTGTTATTATAACCCTTCTAATTTTAAAATATATAAATTATTATATATATATATATATATATATATTTCACAAGCTAGTCATTTTTTTAAAATCTCCTCATTTATAAAAAGTCAAAATCCATATTTTCTTAAGAGATATTCTTTAAATGTGTTTCATCCAACTTCTCATTAAAAGGGGGAAAAAAGCTAAAATAAAATGAATGAAATACTAGCTTGAATCACAAAGATTTTGATCGTCCAACTATGGTGAAAATAGACATCCAATTTGTCACTGTTAATTATTTAATCATGCTTACTCTAACATGTACTTATGTAGTTCGCAATCGCATACATGGTTTTACTCGTGGGCCATCAACCATGGTTTTACTCCTCCAATATGCTGCAAATAGAACCTGCTCTTGAGGGCCGAGGCCTTTATATTACTAGTTATGGGCCTGCACACTGATGGGTTACTATTACCCATGTGCTGAGAGAAAGCATAAAACTTTTCATTAGTTGCATGGTTCCAATTCCAACTTCCAACACAAAATAGTGGCAGTAATTGTGATTGCACAACAACAAAAGTGTGTTGATATGAACAAATCATAAACTCTCGGACCCATTAAACGGGACAAAATCCCTTTTCGTCATGAGTGTCTGAGTTTAGATCCATTTCATTTTGATTGGAAATTTATGGCATTAAAAAATTAGATCCATATCAAAGCATATCAACTTGTAGCATTTAGTTTTGGAACGAAAGACAATCGATCACTAAAAGTTGAAGACGAGACATAACAATGAATCATGATGCAGTTGGCAATTACATTGAATTAATCAATATTTTGTTGTCCTTTATTTTTAGGATAATAGTCAGACAATTAAAAATAATAATTTTATCAAAAGTGGAATATATATATATATATATATATATATATATATAT